GTGTGGTTTCCTCCCACAAGTCTGGGGCAGTCTTGTGCTGACTAATAGGACACAGACGTGATGGTGTACCAGTGCCAGGCTGAGTCTTGAAGATAACTGAGAGCTTCTACTTCTTCCCTCTTGGAACACTTTGGGGCACCCAGGGATGGCCCTGAAGACGTGGGGAAAGGCCGTGGGGGAGAGAGGAGGCTGGGAGACTGGAAGAGACGGGAGTGGCTCAGATGGTCTGGTTTGGGGTTTACACTCACTCCTCCAGGGGACCCAGCCTGGTGACCATCTGACTTCACTTGTGAGAAATATCCCCCAGGCAAGACCAGCAGAACTGCTCGCTGAGCCCAGGGATCCCACAGAACCCTGACAGCCAATGAAATGGTTAAGCCACTAGTTTGGTGTTGGGGGGCGTGGTGGGAGGCGGTTAATGCAGCAACACCTACCTGGGACATGACCTCTACTGGGACTTGCCCAGGTCTGGCTGAGCTCAAAGGCTTTTCTTCTCCACTGTGCCTCCGCATGGATACTGAGATGCCCCCCGCCCCTGATCCTGATTAAATCAGAATATCTGGGAATGAAGGCTCAGAGTAGGTATTTTTTAAATCCTGCAGGATTTGAGAAACATGGCACCATCCACCGTTTCCAAAACTTGCCTAGAGAAAAGAAAGGCCACACTTTAAAAAACAGATTCCTGAGCTCCAACAGATACACTGCTTCAGAATTTCCATGGGAGGGCCCTGGTAAGCAGAGTTAATGCGTTCCCCCAGGTAAATCTTATTATCAACGTTAGGAGAAAAAGGGAGAGAGGAGAGCCAGCTCCCAGGTTGGAAGCTGTTTGGCAGTTGCCTGTTGAGTTAAACCTGAAACCAATCCACACGGCTATCTGTGTGGATTCTGTCCCCAGCAGAAATGAGCAGTTACATCTGCCGAAAGGCATGCACAGGATGTCCCTAAAAGCTTTCTTCATACTGTCCCCAACTGGAAACCTCTCCGGTGGCCATCCAGAAGAACATGGCTTCATGGACCATAGCAGAGCCACACAATGGACCACGGAGTAGCAGTGAGGAAGCCTGGAGGGCTGACACATGCCACAACACCACAGCATGGGAGCATCTCCCAGACCTCCCGCTGACACAGACCGCACAGGTTCTAGCAGTATTCGGTTCAAGGACAGACCAGCCTGACCTGTGGTGATAGGGCTCCAATAGTGGGTACTTCTGTGTTTGTGTCTGTGTGTGTGAGGGAGGTTCTAGAGCTTGATGGGGGAGAAGACTCTGTGTGTGTGTGTGTGTGTGAGTTCTGCTCCCTCCTAGGATGTCATGCACAGGACTAACCTGCCTTTGGGGCCTCCTCGAGAGGCCTTTGCTTGCTTGCTCCTTTGGTTTTTGCTTCTTTGAGATGCACATTATACACTGAGATGTATACAACGAATTGAGCAAATCTTAGGTGTACAGCCTGATCATTGTTTACACATTTACACTGAGTAATTGGCCTTGTGCAAAGTGCTCTTCTAGGCTCCTGGAAATGGAAGTCGAGGCTATATATGACACAGATCCCGTGTGCGTGGGTTTTATAACCCAGAATGGGATATGTGACAATACAAGACAGCAGAGTAAGTTTTCATTCATTCACTCGGCATGTGCTTTGTAGCACCTACTATGTGCCAGGTACTGAAGTCAGCCCAGGAAATGCAGCAGTGGCCAAGATCTGGCCCTGCCCTCATCGTGCTCAGAGTCTAGTCGTCCAATTTTGGAGCGCAGCACAATGAATGGTTAAATACACTTATTCCAACTCCTAAATTTTTCCCAAAGTCATTCTGATAGGGCTTAGTTCAGGCCCCTACTGTGTCTACTCTCTAGGCTTAGAGTAGTTTCCTGGCCCACTGTGTTTCCAGTCCTCCACCTCTGACTCGTTCTCCAGGCCAACAGCCCCTACTTAAGGGCTCAATCTAAAAATTTCAATTAATGGTTCCTGCGCTAATGGCTTCAACCTGTGTGGGCTTGAATCCTTATTGAGAGGGTCTATATTGTGACCACAACCACATTCTTCAAATGCCCTGAGCCTCATGTGTGCTTTCTGTAAAATGGAGATAAAATAGTAATAACGAAAAACAAAACACCACCACCACTGCCTGTCTCCCTGAGGAGGCCGAGCTTTAATGTGTCACAGAGGTATTCATAGAGCAGGTGCTAAACCTTGGGTCTCACCGTTTGCTACTCCTCCTTCCCTGCACGACCCAGTAATGTTGAGGTGCTTCTATGCATGGACACACCTTTTGTTTTCAAAGGCCCTGAGCTCGTGGTGCTTCTTCGGTCTGGAATGCCTTCCCTCTACCTTCTCCTAGCTGGGTCTTCTTCAGCTTGGGAACCAGCCCTGGCACTGCCTCCTCTAAGTAGCCCTCCCATAAGCTGCATATGGAGCTGAGCGCCCTTATCTGGACCCCCATAACACCCTGGAATGAATTTGTCTGTTTGCCTCCTGTTTCTGTTTGTCTCCACTTGCTCAAGTATGAGCTCCTTCCGGGCAGGCCTGAATCAAAGGCTTCTTTATGCCCCCAGCTGGGGACCCTTCCTGATCAGGGCAGGTGCCGGATGTGTCCACTGACTTGAGCAGATCATGCCAAGCGTTTTCTTAAGGGAAATGGCCTTTGAGTTGGCTTTGAGGCATGGATAGGACTTTAAAAACTTATTTTAAAACAAAGTGTACATGCACACGATACCAAATCCAAGAGGAACAAAAAGGCTTACAGTGAAAATTAAAAGTAGGTCACCTCTCAACCACCCAGCACCCCTCCCCAGAGGCCATCATTGGTATCAGTTTCTGAATACTCTGTGCGGGCAAGAATGGGCTGTCTCCTCCGCTACACATGCACTTTTTTATTTTGCAAAAACTTAAACCAACAGAAAAATTACAAGAACAGTGTGATAAACACTCTTTGCCTGGATTCACCAATTAACATTTGGCCACATCATGCAAAATATTTCACAAGCATTATATCATGTAATGCTCACAACAACCATATAATCATGCCAATTTTGTAGATGAGGTAACTGAGGCAGCAGGCAGGTGAAGGGACTTGCCCAAGGCCACAGAGCTAGCAGGGGTTGAGCTGGGCTTCCCCCTTAGGCTGCCACAGGACTTTGATCCACCTTCTTTCAGCTTGCTTTGGAGGAAAGCATTTTCTCACACTAAGTTGAAATCTACCTCCCTGGGATATTCACCAGATGATCAGTGGAAAAGTACACAGCTCTGGAAGCATTTGCTCCTTCTCCTAAAACCTTCCCATTCCCTAAGCAACAGCTGCTGTCGCTGCTGTTAACACATGCTTCAATGTCACCTCCTCTGTGAGGGCTGAGTTAGCTCACCCCACTGTTTAAAAACTCCCGTGGTCTACTCCTGGCTGCCAGCAGAGTGACATTTACGCTCCGGGGCTTGGAATCCAAGGCCCTGGGAGATCTGGCCCCATGAATCCCTATGACCTCCTTCATCCTGCTCCTTCTTCCTCTAACCTCCACCTCCAGCCCGTGGCAACCTCTCATCATATGCTTAGGTTTCCCTCCTCCTTGAAGCCACCCCTAATTTTCCCAAGGAGTGCATTTCCCCCTTTCTGGGCTCCTGAATCTTCTGCCTGTATCTCCTTTACAGTCTTCTCCAGGCGGTTTTTTGACCATGAGACTGGACGGCAGAGGATTGGATTGACAGTTCGGCCCCTCCTGCACAAATTACTTCAGGAGTGTGAGCCTTCATTTCCTCAAACACATAATGGGGGAAAGAATGCCTAGCTCAGTACCTGGCATGAAGTCAGCCTTCACTAATCTCCCATAATAGAAGTGACAGCTCTTCAAGGATGACATCTCTTAGTCATCCCTTGAAACTCTACCTCTTATTTCTTAACTTCTCTGAGCCTCAGTTTCCTCATATGTAAAATGAGGATGATGATGGAGAGGCTGTGAAACTTTAACGAGCTGATGAATATCAAGCTCTCGGAACAGTATCTAGTCCCTATTAATAATGCTATGACCACTACCTCGCGGGGGGTGAGGGCGGGACTGGCACAGAGTAGGTGCTAAATGAACCCGCTCAGAGCTGGGCTCGGGTGTCCGGACAGGGCGCGGGAAGGCAAGGTTGGGAGCCAGAGGTTTGTAGAGCCAGCCTGGAGGTCGGCTCCGCCCCTTCCCTCACGGGCCCCCGCCCCAGCCCCTGCAGCTGTCAGGACCCAGCCAGCTTCGGCGCCAGTCCACCAAACCTGAATGTCCCATCCCGGCGCCCCCACCTTCTTTCGCCTACACAAGTTACCTTGCGCCCGTCTGCCCTTTGTCCCCGCCCCTGATTTCCATTGGCCAAAGGTTTCCTTTGTTAGCCGGAGCGCCCCCCTCCCATTGGTCGGCAGGGCTGCCGATCGCGCGGAGGGCGCGGCCCCGCCCTGCGCGCTGCCCCTATCGCTCCCTCCTCCCCCGCCCGCCTGCCCGCCTGCGCGCCCACCAGCCCCGCCCCGCCCCGGGAGTGCGCGAGGCGCTCCGCTACCATTTGCTGCGGCCGCTGGGCGCCGAGGGCAGCGGTGGCGGCGCGGACCGACCCCGGGGACCGGCAGCGACCCGGCGCCTGAGAACCGGGCCGGAGCGCGGGGAGGCAGCTGGCCCGGGAGGCCGCGTCCATGGGCCCGTGGCGGCCGGGCGGCGGCTGTGCGGGCGGGCGGCGGGGACCGCGCGCTCTGTGAGGGCCCGGGCGCGGGGCTCGGCGCCGAGGTGCCCCGGCGCGCCGTGCAGCGCCGCTCCGTCGTGCGAGGAGAGGCCCGGCCCGCATCCCGGCGTCCGTGAGGCCGCCCTGACCGCCGGGGGCGCGCTCCGGCCGCGGCCGGGCCTGCGTCCGCCGTCCGGCTGTGAGGCGGCCGGCCGGCGGGGGCATGCCGCGGCGCCCGCGTTGAGCTCGGCTTGAGCCCACCCCGGGCCCGCCGTGCATGGTGCCGCCGCCCGCCAGCCGCCGTCCGCCGTCCGCCGTCCGCCGCGGAGCGTGCGCCGGGCCGGGCCGGGCCACCGGGCCTGTGCCGCTGCCGCGCCAACCATGTCGGCGGCCAAAGAGAACCCGTGCAGGAAATTCCAGGCCAACATCTTCAACAAGAGCAAGTGTCAGAACTGCTTTAAGCCCCGCGAATCGCATCTCCTCAACGACGAGGACTTGACGCAGGTGAGCGGGCGGGGGTCCTGGGGCCGACCGGGAGGTGGAGACCCGGGTCCCGGGCCGGGCGGACCCCGACCCCCGGCGGCCCCCTCGGGCTGGAAGTTTCCCGGCGCGCAGTCGCCCCGCTAGGTGTTGCAAGCCGTTGTCCGAGGCGGGCAAGAGTGCCTCTCCGGGGGCGCTGGCCGCGTCCCCCTAGTTCTGACGCCCGTGAGACCACCGTCCTGCTGTGGAGAGGAGAGCGGACGTTATCCAGTTCCCGAGGCGGGCGGGGGTGGGGGTGCCTCTGAAGGCTCCCAGGGAAAATAAAAACGGAGCAGAAAAAATGTACGTGAGTCCTGGGGAGGGTAGTGAGGATGGAGGTGGGGGTGGAGCGGGAAGTGTATTGATAGAGCCGGGACAAAGGGAAAATCCTCAAGTATGCCGAAAAATAACATCCTTTCCCGTTCCCATAGCCCTGCCGTGTGATTCATGCTTTTTGGGTGACTCAAAAATGCCTGGTTTTTCTTAGGAGGAACAAAGCGCTTGGGGATTGCTTGCTGGTTCGCAGTACCCCCCATAGAGTCCGTTTTAGGACCCGACTTAGACTTGTCCACCCAGAGTGGCCAAGGGAACAGGATCGTCTGGGTGGACTGTGGGCTTCCCTCTCGGCAGACCCAGTTTGCCCGTTTTCTAAAGCATTGTCACTGTCAATGATGGGAGAGGGGAATGGTCCTGAAGTGGGGGGAGGAGGGTCTTGCTCTTGAACTTAAACTGGAGGCCTTTTTGTTGTTGGGAGAGGTGGGGGCTGTTCTCCCCACCCTTTCTCCCAGCTCTCTGGTCGCTTGGCAAGGAATAAGGAGACCTGCGGGCCTTTGGGAAAGTCCGTTCACTTCTCCTGGCCTTATCTGTCATATGAGGGCTTTGGTCTAGTTTAGTAGCTCCCAAACCTGCATCAGAGTCACAGGCTAAAAATACAGAGTCCTGGGGCCCCATTCCTGGAGCGATACAGGAGATGAAGGAATTTATATTGTAACAGTTCCCTAAGAAGTTGGACTGCAGTCCCCACTGGCCTTTGGGAACCCCTGTACTGGTTGCTCCCTGAGCTCCCAGTATTCCAGAGAATCCTCAGGATCCCAGGGCTTCTCTGCAACACTTGCAGGCCCTTGGGCTATGCTGATTCCTTGGATTTCCTGAACAAGCCTTGTCTACCACCACTTGGGATGTGTCTGTGGCCCCTCCTTTCCTCTCCCCCAGTCTCAGTCTTCTTCAGAGCGTTCTCTCTCTCCCCGCCCCCCCCCCATGAGGCCAGGGGAGCTCCCTTCACATTCCAGTCCAGTGTGACCTAGTTGTAGCCACTCCTTTTGCAGAAGAACCCCTTAGATGGAAAACATTGCTTTGAACTGTAGGCCCGGCTGTTTTTAATGCTACTTAAGTACTCACAGGATTTGAATTGTTTACATGGCAGACCAGAGTAGGTTGGCAGGGCAGGGGTTATGGCATGAGACATGGTGTCTTCCCCTGAGATCAGAATCCCAGCACCCAGGAAAAAAAACTCCTTTCATCTAAAACCAAAAGCTTAACCGAACACTCGAGGCTACAGTCACAGATTTTTGGGATGAGGGACCAGGTCAGTTTGGGAAGAGTAGAACTTATTTTCCTGGTAAAGTGTTCTGGGTTGGGCTTTTCAGGGACACTTTCTCTGTTCAACTGGATGCCTTGGGCGGGGGTTAGTTTATGTGGTGATGAGGGCCTTGGACCAGGAGTCAGGAGGTCTTTTGTCTTCACTGTCACTTTCAGCTGTGTGACCTTGAGTAAGTCCCTTTGCCTTTATATAGTTTATTTTCCTTTTCTGTAAATTGGGAGTAGGGATCCCTGGCTTACCTCTCTCACCCTTTGAAAAGCAAGGAGTGGTATCTTATTAAACTTTTCTCTTACAATTTAACAAACAAACAAAATCACCCACAGAATGATAAACTTGGATATAGGAAGTTTATGGGCTTGGCAAGCGTTGTTCTGAGAGAGTTTCCTGGTTATTCCAGGCAACTGCCAAAATTGGTAGATTGGATATTTACACCTCATAAGAACTGTTTTCTGATTCTTAGGTTTAGATAAACAAATGGCATCTCTATATTTGAGTCGGATCTGTTAAATTTTCTTTAAAAAATCTGTTGATTATTAAATGGATCAAGAGAGTGTTGCAGATTTAAAGCACTTTACTCTTCAACTTTATTCACATTTGAATTGTGGATTTTAAACAGGCTTGAGTCCTTTAGGGCACAACGGGGATGGTAGTTTCTGAAATAATGAGTGGGGTTATTTGTGCCGGGAGAGATTAGGCCAGCCCTCTACCTCCTGGGATCTTTCAGGAAGAAACTGCTCTTGAAAAGAGAAGGAGGGAGACTCAGGGCTGTTGCCAACAGCTTTAGCTGCTGCTCTCTGCATCCGGCCTCCCCCAGCCTTACTCTCATCCTCTGGCTCCATTAGAAAACCTCAGCCAATTGGTTCCCATCACTCTCCCCCAAGGCCCTGCTTCCTGCTGCCCCTCCCTGCCCTGAGCTTATTTTAGCCCTTCAAGGCTGGAAGATAGATCAGCAATCATTGAGGCCACCCCCTCTTTAAGGCGTGTATCCTTCAGTCCTGTGCGTTTCTCTACATGCATACGGACTCGAATACACAGTTAAAACCTTTACTTAACCCAAACTGTATTTGTATTTGCTCTGCAGCATATTTTTTTCCTGCTTAATGATATGTCTTACAGCTCTTTTCATGGTGCGACATATACGTATTCCAAATAGTGCCATCGGGGATGTACCATTTAACCATTCCCTTATTGATGGACAGCAAGGTTACTTCTGGGTACTGCTGTTACAAACAGCGAATGCTTCAGCGAACAGTTTTCTAAATGCTTTTGGGTGAGTGTGTGCGTGCACAAATGCAAGTATTTCTCTGGGGGCAGATAGTTAAAAATAGAATGGCTGGGTTAACATCAAGCACATTGAATTTTTTTTTTTTTTTTACAGATATCACTAAATTGCCTTCCAAAAAAGGCTGTGTCATAGCATTGCCAGGATTGGATATTATCAGATAATTTAATTCTTTAATAATTTTCCTAATTACCGGGACGCCTGGGTGGCTCAGTTGGTTAAGCGGCTGCCTTCGGCTCAGGTCATGATCCCAGCATCCTGGGATCGAGTCCCACATCGGGCTCCTTGCTTGGCGGGGAGCCTGCTTCTCCCTCTGCCTCTGCCTGCCTCTCTGTCTGCCTGTGCTCGTTCACTCTCTCTCCCTCTGTCCCTGACAAATAAATAAATAAAATCTTTAAAAATAATAATAATAATAATAATTTTCCTAATTACCAATGAGGCTAAGCCTCTTTTTACAATATTTATGGTATATGTTTTGTTTCTTGTGTGGACTGCCCATTCATACTGTGAGCCTGTTTTTCTGTTGGGTTAATTTCTTGCGCCCCCCCGCCCTCCGCCCTGACTCCAGCTGGTCTGTAGGAGCTTTCCATCTACACTCTAGATCAGGCGTCCACCGACTTTCTCCCTAAAAGGCCATATAGTAAATATTTCAGCCATGTGGGCCATATGATCTTTGTGGCAGCTACACAACTTTGCCATTGTAGTGTAAAAGCCATCGTGCAAAGCCACTTTAGACAATACGTAAACTTATGAGTGTAGCTGTTTTTGAGAATACCGTATTTACAGAGTTAACAGAGACAGGCAGCTGGTAGGGTTCAGCCTGTACGCTCCAGTTTGCTGACCCCTGCTCTAGATCTCAATCTGAACCTGTCCTATATTGTGCATAGTTTCTCCCACAGTGTCCATTCTAATGTTATGTATGGTCATTTCTTTTTCATATGGTAGTTTTAAAAAAGAATGCAGTTAAATTTCCATGTTTCTTTTTTAGTTTGTAGTTTTAATCTAATGCTTATGAAGGTGTTTTTTTTCAAGATTATAAAATATTCCCTCACATTTGTAATTCCCTTGTAGTTATTTTTATGCTTAACTTTCTAACCCATCAGAGTTTTGTCTTAGAAAAATAATTTTGGCATAAAACTAGAAGCTCTAACATAGTCCAGGTAAATGACAGTAAAGGTCTTCTCCAGGTCACTGTTGGCCAGGATGGAAGGAGTCATGAGACACTAAAGACAGGGTATTGGTGGTTGCTTGGAGGTGGGGATTGAGGAGACCTGGGTACCTTCAGCAGAGACTGAGAATAACAGATAAGGAGTAGGTTTATGGAGTGGGGAGGAGACAAAATTAATACAGTGACTTTGACCCCGTGGAGTTGGAGGTTTAGTTTGGTCCTTAGGTGGAATCACTGGCTCAGGCAAGCAGGTGGTTAGAGCTAGGTGAGGGGTGTGGGAGCAGTAGGAATTCTGAAGTCATGGGAGTCAGTGTAGTCAGTCACTCAGGAGGCCACATAGAGTGAAATGAGGGGGAGCAGATGGGGAAGGGAGGTGAATCAGGGGTTGGCAGTCAATGGGAGCAGGTCTGGAGCCCAGGGTTTTTGGCTCCCAGGTCCTCATCCCAGCTTCAGTGTGGGTTTCTGGGGTTCGTGGTAGGAATTGCCCTCGTGATATGTCATCTTGTAGGACTTTAGGTATGCTTTTTGTGGAAGGAGTCACTGCATCTGAACTTAAGTTCTAGTTCCTTCTACTGCTATTCTGTTGTGGGATCTTGGCTGGGTTGTTCTCTCTCCTCAGGCCTTGATTTTCCCATGTGAAGAATGAGGAGTTTGGTCTTGGTTTCTGCAGGGCTCTTCTAGTCCTCCTGCATCTCCTCTCAGACCTCTCGGTCTAATTGTGCCCCTCGCTGTGCAGCACTCCACTGCTAGGGCTGCTTGGGGTCTTGGGGTCTTGGGTTGAGAGTCCCAGGCACAGAAGTGGGTGGGTCAGGACTTGGTTTCTGTGAATCATTTCATCGACTTTCCCTTTACCTTCCCTGTGACCCTCTTAGAAGTTCTAGGGCGTGGAAGTTCTTTACTTCACTTGACATTTATCCCATAAGCAGTGGGGAGGT